TAGCTATTAAAAAAAAATCTAGGTTTAAAAATGCCTGGACCTTAACAAAAACATCTCTAAATTAAATTTTATTACCGCATTCACATGTAGTGTATGCATCAGTTTACATTTAGGATTCAGTGACAACTTAACAAAAAGTGTGCTAGGAGTAGTGGTCAGGAGCAGCTCCAAGGGCCCAATCTTCTGACTTGGGTTAGCAGTGACACAAAAGTCTAAAGACCAACAGAGATAGGAGATAAAAATCCGTAGGAAATAAAAATCCATAGATTTTCCCCAGGTACTTTATAAATTCTAGATCAGACCTTAGTTGCCCAAGGAAGACAAACCAAACCTGACCTACAAAGGGCATGTTACTTTCAGCTTTTAGTAAGGTATCTGAACAGTGGTTTGCAATTTCATTTTGTTTTTTAAATACACCATAGGCTTAATCCTGCAATCCTTGCACGCTCTGAACTTGCACAAATTTAAATATGGATTCTGAAGAAATCATGCAATACCTGGTATGTGCAGTACAGGCCTTATCTGGTACTTTTTGCAGAGTCCTCGTTTTAGCACTGAGGATATCGCTCTGGTTTTCTGCAAAGAGGGGTATTCAGGAACAGCCCTACACCGCGCACTAAGGGATGTTTTGTGAACACGTGCTCCACAAAAGCAGAGAGGCTCAGCAGTTGCTCATGGTTGCTTCTAACACCTGCCACAACTTCTTGAAGAAGGGGATTCATCTTCCAGGGGAATTTGAAACCAAGGGACTGGGAAAGCACTAAACTGGACATAATTGAGGTGAAATAATCTGCTTTACAGGTGGGTGAGGTTTTTTTGGTTGGTTGATTGGTTTTTCATTCTCTTCAGATTAAGGAAACTCCCTGGCAGCAGTGGAGCTAAGACTATTTCCAACGATACCACCAGGAGTTATTCTCAGGTGCTCTTTTAACATCAAGCAAAGAAGTGATGAAATACTCGTGTGTCTAGAACACATACTACTCCCTTAATCACAGGTTAACCCTTTAAAAACAAAATAGGATTCAAAATCTTCCAGGACATGTTCTGGCACGAGTAAAAAGCTGTAAAAATTTGGCACGGCCTCGGGAGGCTGTACCAGCAGTGTCACGCACCTCAGCCAGGTGGTACGGGGCTGAGGGCCGGACCTTTTGGGGCTCCCGCTCGGGATGACACCATGCCTGATGCTGGGGAAGCAAGGGTGGGAATAAATAACGCTGCAGCACTAAGCAGAAGCACATCTTCTCTTCAGGGCACCCACGCCTGTCTTCATCTTTGCCGAGTAAGACTCACACACGCTGGATGAACCCAGTTTGAGTTTCTTGCTGGAGAGGAATCGCTACCTTGTAATGAAAGGCCACTCGTTTCCTGAGATTTCTGATCCAGCAGAACATGGCATTCTTACAAACGCGTGACAGTCCATCCGGCTGAACAAGTTAACGCGTGGGACTTGCACGAGGGGAAGTCTTTTCAAGTAAGTCACTACCATATATGCTTGGAACCATCCTTGAAAGTTTGATGTCCATGCCATTTTAATTAACAATTTTGAAACAACCACAAAAAAAAAAAAACCAAACCCAACCCCCCCAAAGTCACACACATTATGGGCTATTTACCTGCTAATTCTTTCTTTCATCAAAGCTGCTCCTGCGTTACAAAACCGTAATAAAAATCCCCGTACTGGTAAGGGCTAGTAAACATTTTTCTTCATTTGCATAAACAAGAAAACCCAAACAACTAAAAAGGCCAAGGATTGTCCACGGCCAAGAACTGGTTAAGTAGTTTGAAACTATGCTCAAGATTTCTTGAAAACATATTGTCTTTCAGCCAAACAATACCGTTAAAGTAATGTGAATGCTTTGCTTTAAAAATGTGCTTTTTCAGTTCACAGAGACCAGTAGTGTAAAAATAAATCATCCATGAAGCATATTCTGATTTTTAATTTCATCCCTTGATCCATCAGTGGCTTCAAAATCCCTTAACAACCAAGGAAGAAAAAAGTTACAGGGTTCACATTTTAAAAGATTGTCGATTGTATAGACCAAAAGTCGCTAACCCACGGAAAGATTTATGGGCGACTTCTGTCACGACCCGACTAACATGAAGTCAGTACCTTTACAGCAGCCTACAAGGTTGGTAAGGCATTTCACTGCCTTCTTGCACCTTGCTTTTCTCTGGCTAAAACCAGCTACGATCACCCAGCAGGCCCTAAAGCACTAAGTCACTGAAAAGGAACCGATTTCTGTATTTCGAGGTGACGAGAACAAACCGCTAACGTGATTTGGGCAACCACTTAAAAGCACGCTGGTGCCAATGTCACTACACCTTCTGCCGGATGATCAAGTTACTTTAGGACTTAAAAATTAAACAACCCCAGACCTATTTGAAGGAGGTTTAGCAAGCTCAGGGCAGGGGAAGGAATCCACACTCTGAGTTTGAGTCTGGCAACGCCAACCTGCTTTACTACTCCGCTAGACTGAACAGCGCAGAGCCAAGCGTGTTCAGCACAAGGCTGACGATTTGATCGTTTGCACACTACAGTTAAACCTGCGTTTTCACGGATATGCTCTGGTTTTAGGAGGTGGTGAGACTCTGAATTTATTATTAGGAAACCAAAACATTTCACTTAACTGTTTAACATGCGAGATTTTCATGAGGGAATGAAGGTCAGTTACATTTCCAACAGGATTTCAAACTACATTTTGCCTATTCAACTCTAAAAACTAAGCTGAATAAGGCTGAAAGGTTTAAAAGACTAATCAAAGTAACAGAAGTCAGAAAGACAATAACAACACAGCACCTAAAAATGGGTAATTCACACATTTTTGACATTTATGTCTTGCATAGACAAATACTTTTTTTTTTCTCCCAAGATGACTCAGCTTCAGAAAATAAATCTTAAATCAACTTCAATTACAATTAAATGCATGTATTCCAATTTTTCAAAATACCAGGGTGTTTTGAATTTCTGTTTAAGTGCTACAAGACTAATGGTTTTATGAAACTATCATCCCTTGGAAAGGCTTCGTTTCATCCTTTGGGCTGTCAAGTTCATGAAGGCAGGAAGCTGAACTGCCTTCTCATTCTTTTTCCATGTCATTAGAGAAACAAGCAGATATATCATGCATGCATTAAGCCTTTGTGGCCCCCCTCTGCTGGAATATCCACAAACCTGAAGCTGCTTTTAAAGCACAGGAACTGGGAACCCCAGTTCCTCAGCGTAGGTCTGCCTTCTGGCCACAGTTTGAACGTCGAAATGGTATGTGGTACACACCAGGCCAACATGAATTCCCCCTCCTTCTAAGCCCTTCGTCCATACCCTGGTTTCCACTGGAAGAAAATCTAGGTATGCAGGCAAGATACAGCTGGAGGGCTCTCCAAAAAGGTTCCTAACAGCAATCAGGGACCAGAACGAAGAATCCGTTCTCTTGCAGGTACGTGCAGCCCGACATGCACCTTACGGAGTCTCCCCAAGGTCAGCAGGGCGCCACTTCGACCCAACATCCAGATCTAGGAAACTCTCTGCAGAGCCAGAGCCACGCCTGGCCATTCTAAGTGTTTTCCAAAGTTATTATTATTTCTTAGGAATGGTCATTTAAAAATATATCCTAATCAATTTGGAATTGATTTACTACAATACAATTACGCCTAAGATTAAAGAACAACAGGAAATTGCCTTGCCTGTTACAGAAATCTTGGAAAAATTGGACTGAGAACCCTGTTTTGGGTTAATGATCTAGATTACGTTGAAAAAAAAAACTTTAAAAGTTTCAATAATCATCACTGCAGAAGAATTACTTTGATTTTAAAAACAAATTAATTCTATTGCATATGAACATGACTTTAATTAGGGGGAAGGGGGAAATTATACATGGGCTTAAAGTTAGGTCCCCTATAAAGACTTTTTAACTAATGTAAACATGTACTTTTCCTGAACAGTGATGCTTTGCTTAAACCAGCAATCTTTCTTACACAGCAAAAGAGGAAGGACATTACTTTTTTTTTTGTTTTTAAATTGTAAAAAGAACAAGCACTTCTGTGCAGTTCAGACCCACTGCAGAGTTCTCACTGAATTAAAAGACAAGGTTTGAGTTCTGTATGTTAAGCGATACCTTTGATTACATTGGTAAAGCCTTTTCAGTTTTAGGAATTCATGTTCCTATGTTTCTAATTTGACAGTAAAACTATTCCATATTCCCCCTTTCGCAGTAAATTCTGACAACTTCACTTTCCAGGTACTGATAAACTAGCTGAAGACAAGGTCGCAGATGTTTCAGAAGAACAAAACTTAGGCTGCATGTAAGGCGGGGGGAATGAAAAAGCTAACCAGACAACCGTTTCTTCCTGAAAAATAAACTTTCAGAAGCTCGCAAACCCTGATGCCTGGTTGTTTCCAACTGAGTTCCAAGTGGCACATAAGCTATATATTCCTGAAACCTCTTCCAGCCACCTGTAGAAATATTAAATTGTTTTCATACCCCCTCATTTTTTAAGTACTCAGTTCTCGTTGTTTCGAGGTGTGGGCAAATGCCCATTGCCACGTTATCTCCAAACTACAGAAGTTTTTTTTGCCTGTTTTGGTTTATCCTTCCCTTTGCTGCTGGCTACTTGCTACCCCAACAGATCTGCTGGCTGAGCTGCTCCCCAGATTGCCTCAGAGCAGGCTGGGGAAAGCTCTGCTGGCCGACCTGAGGCAGCAACAGTGGGTCAGGGAGGGAAAGGAGGCAGTGAGGAATGGCCTGTTTCTCCAGCGCAGGTTGATTTGAAAAAGCACGCATTTGTCCCTAGGCCTGTACACGCTGAGAAGGTGACTACTCGCCTGCCAACGTGCTAGAAGTACAAGGATTAATGCGCTATTAAATATGAACAAGGGTAGCCGAATAAAAACCCTCAAACGAATGAACAAACACAGCCTACTGTGTCATGGAAAGCGTGGGCGTGATGAAGCACTTATGGAGTTAAATCAAAAACAACTAAAAAGAAAAATAGAGAATCTGTCTCTCAGTTCTAGGCATCTCAGGTATCCTTCGTAGGAACAGTAGGTTGAATGTTTCCAAAGGAGCATGAATTTGTACACAATATTGGTCTTTTGAAATGTTTTAGGGTCAAACTGGATTTGACAATAGCCTTTGAGACAGTTATGCTATGTCAAAGCTTTCCTAATTGAATCTTTCATTCATCATTTACTATGCTCTTTAACAAACATGGCACGTTAGCGGCAAATCAGAGAACAAATTCTTTAGAAATTACCACTCCAGCTGGAGTAGATCATTACAGCATTTGAAGTAAGCAGCAAGATCCTCAGCCAGGAATAAGCAAAAGCCATAGCAGAAACATCACTTGTGTTAAGTAAAACCCAACACCAATTCTTCAAAATAGCTACTAGTCATTGAAAACTAGTATTATCCTCCAGGTATGGAAGCCAATGCTGACACTTACTGACATTTCTTTCTTCATACCAACTTATAATTGCCTCGGAAGACAACCTTTAAAGACCAGCTTCCAGCCATTTAAGCACATCAAAAAGTACATGCGTTAATCCTACTGAAATCAGTGTGACCTAAGCACATGCCTGAGTGTTTTCTGAACCAGAAATTAAGTATTCAAGTTAAATATTTGCATCTGTCAAAGGGCTTTGTTCAAATACAATGTCTAAAGATTCTAAAAGCTAACATCTTTTTTCCCTGTCACGTTAGAAATGCAACCAGATTTGGTCTAAATCAGAAGGGTGTTCTGGCTTTGATCTACCCCAGCACTGTGACAAATGGACAGGGGGGAAAAAAGAGGACCTTGATCTTACCATGAGACTCTCAGAGTCTATTATTTGTACTTAACAACGGGAAATACAAAGTTCCAAAAGTAAGTGTTCATGGCTAGACAAACATAGAATCGAAACTTCAGGGGAAAAAAAGAAAGAAATTAGCTGTTACCACAAAAAAAAAAAAAAAAAAAAAAAAGCTTTTTCATCACTAGCTCTTAGTCTTTAAGTGACACACAAGGATTTTCTACTCTAAATAAAGCCTGCTGTATATTCTGGTAGTAACCTTCAGATTTGAAGAAATTTTATATAAATCCATAAGTTATATTTCTTTTTGTATTGGGGAAAATATTTCAAATGCAGTAAAATAGCAGAGTGATAGCAGAATTCATGACTGTATAGTAGGCAACTTTTCATTCTTCAGATTCAGTTGTACAAACTATAAACTGTTAAATCTCTCTAATAACTGGAAAAATTGTGGGTATTTGAATTTACTTACCTGAATACTCATTTAGCAAATATCTTCAGATACAAGTCTAGATACAGTTAATGTAATTTGATTATTAGTTTACACATAATATAAATCATTGTTTGACAATATCAAAATCCCATCAAACAGTGGGCCCTTCTTATGCTATTATCAAATATAGTATATCGCTGTGGGATAGCTGAGAATCATAGAATGCTAACGTAGGCTTGTTTATTAAATTTGGTCAGTTTTCAGACCTTCCAAATAGGAATACTAAACATTTATTTTTCCCCTCTGGAAATTCTTTTTTTTTTTTTTTTTTCCTCCTCCTGCTTAATACAGTCGTCATCCCAATTCCTAGTGAATTTATAAAAATATTTTTTATCCAATAACCCCGGCAAGGTAAAAATAGGAGTTTTTGTAGCAAATGATAAACAGGCTCACGGACTATGAGAGAAACTAAACTTAGTAAAATTGCCATACATTCGCTACTGAATCACACATCAACATTTTCTTTTTATGTGTGTTGCTGTCCACCTCAGACTAGCAGTTTTTAAGGTGCAGAAGCATCTTTCAAATATATGCATCTAACTTAATGATCAAGTTTCACACTAGTGTCACATGCTTTAAATTTACATCACCTGCCCATCAAGAGTTGTGTTAAATAACAGCACTAATTGAAACTGCATAATTCTTTAGAAATTGCAGCACTTCCAATTCATAGAACAAAGGGGTGCTTATGTGGTTCTTTATATTACTAGATATAATTTTCTGAAATAAGGAAAAGAAATGAAAAAACACATTTGAAAGAAGTTGCTGCACCTGCAAAAACACTCTTTAAGCTTACTATGAAATACAAAAAAGTGCACCCTTCTATATCTACATATAAAACATATTAGAAATAAAACTTGTGTAAAATGTTTGCTGTGCAAACTATAAAAACAGTCAGTCAGTCAGTCCATTCTTTTTCCTAAACATTTTGTCACACTCTCTTGCTTCCTACTGCAGAGAATCGCTGTTATCCAAGACCAGCCCACTGATATTTGTTGTTGAGAGATCTCCTCCATCATCTTCACCGCTGTCTACGGACTCATCCTCACTTTGCCCTGCCATCATAACTTGCTGAACAGCCAAAGTAGCACCATCGGATGACAAAGACTGGAGACTGTCTACATTCATGTTGACTGGAGCTGTAATTGTTACAACAGCACCTGGAGAAGCACAATCGTAGTACTTTAGCACCTTTCTTAGTTTCCAATTTTAAGTAATACATATTTATATACAGCAGAGTTTGTTTCTAATCAACAGGAAGAAAACCTAAGGAACTAAATTAAAATAAAAGCTATGTAAGTTGTCAAAACACTTAAATATCAGAAAATGCCAGAATTAAGTTGGCCAGGAATCTTAAACTTAGCTGTGTTATGGACACCCATTACAGCAATTCTCCAATCAAGTCATCACAAGACCATTTCTGCAAAGTATTCCAGCTTAATTCATTGTAAAACCACTGGAGCGTTCATAGAGATTCAAGGTGACTTAAATGGATAGAGCTGTTGTCAGATCCAGCAGAGGCAGAGGGAAAAGTTGCTACAAATTGGAAAGGAATAAAGCAGCAGGCAGCAGGACAGAAAGGATGGTCCAGAGATTAAAGCAGCTATTTATCTTTCTTAAATTGAGTCTATTTATTTGATCTGATGCCAAGGAAGTTGCTTCAGGCAAAGTCTTTGGAGGCTCTGTTACATTTCTCTGCTTCTCAATGTTCACCTTGAAACACAGGAGGCATATATAGAACTGCTGATGCTCAGTCCCTCTAGCAATAGTGAAAGGAGTGTGAACAGGATGGGGAGTCATGAAACTGAAAACTGCAGTCCAGTACTGGTAATCAAACAGCATGCTACTGACATGCATGCAGATATTGAGACAACTTAGTTGGACATCTAACCTTTGTTCTGTTGTTTCGTAACTTCTGAAACAAAAGCAAGCGTCTCTCAACATAAATTCCAATATTTTTAAAGAGGGAAAATTTGACATATTTCTGTTAGGTTTTTCTAGATTGAAAACACATTTATACTGCAATATCAAGGAGTTCTCCCCCTCTCAAAGGCATCAAACCCTTCATTTCCCTGTTACAGAGGAATTAGCTTTTATCATCTGTGGTTTAGCCAGTTCTCCTTACCATCTGACATCGTGAGCTCATTAGATTGCTGCTGAGCAACTCCTGAGGCAATGGAGTCAGGCCAGAACCTTTGAACCGGTCGGTTCTGAGCTGTTTTCTTCTTTGTTTTTGGAGTTTCAGAACAACTGGAATCCAACATCGGCTGAAGAATTCGCCTTCTAGCATTGATAAACCTAAACACAGTGAAAAGCAAGAAGTACTTATGACCAGTTGGCTCTAAGTTCTCTCTCAAATTCACAAAGTATGCAGCGGGAAAAAAATTAGGAATGTAAAATCTTCTCCCTACCAGCTTGGCTTGACAATTCTTTTTAATGTGTAAGACTGCCCCTAGAACACTGGCATCCTTTGATTTTGGCAAACTAGCTAAGAAAGTACTTCTACCATTTAGCTGCTAGCAGCATTTTCTCCCCCAGCTCAGAAGGGGAAATTTTCCAGACAGCATGACAAATGTACATTTCAAGATCTTATTAAAAACTAAGCACTAGAAAACTTGCTGACAGCACAGCTCAGAAAACTGATACTCCTCTCATTAGGGTTCACCTAAAATCTAGCCCCTGCCTAACCTAGTTTGTTTGGTCTGGTTTCATTTACTTCCTTAAGCTCCCACATTACTTATTTTATAGGCTCCCTGGCTTTCCAAGGTCTGGTTCCTGATCCAGGAGACAATAGCAAACACATTTTTCAGATCTCTTCCAATTCCCTTTCATTCCCTGATTTTCACTTGTTTACTTTAGCATGTTAATTGCTGCCCTTCTCCTTTCTGCTAATGAACAAGAAAATAGTTAAACCACATCTCACTTGGCTACCAGTGGTTAACTGAACCAATTTCAATGTAGCTAGCTGCGGCAAGGAGGGGTGACTGAGGATAGCATCCCTTGCTAAGTCTGACAAAACACTTCCAGGGCCCATCTTTACCTGCAACAGAAGGAAGCAGGGTGCAGCTGGCAGGTCCACACGGTGTAATGCAATGCTCTGCAGAGACACTAGCTGGATCCCAGTACCACAGAGCTCCGTTACTACCATGTCACACAGGCATAGTTACACTGTTCTGCTTTTGGAACCAGTGTACTGCCACTACCTTGAGGATTTCACCACTGGACCCCTCTGTAGCCAGCATCATCTTTGAAATCTGAGGAAGATCCCTGTTGGACTTTGCTGCAATAATTTTAGGAACCAATACCACAAGCAGAATAGGATGCATGTCAGCACCCTCGCTCCTCTCTTCTGCAGGGGCATGTGTATTATCTTAAACCCCTAGTGAAGATAAGACATGCTAAAAATGCTGATCCACGAACTAGAGTAGTTGAGTTACCGACACTCTCCATTTGGACATCACTGCTCAGAGGACAGCATCCTTTGATACAAGAGCAGAATGAATAACCATTGACACTAACTTCTTAAACATCTGCAACCACGATTACCAGAGAACACTTTTTCAGAGCTTCAGGCCCCTATGCCTTTAAACTTCAATGTCTTTACTTGCAGAAGAGACACGAGAGTACTTCCAATCTCTTTCAGCAATAGAACAGAACGCAATTCCTTAATGTTGCAAGGTTTTCGGGTGTCCTTATGTAATTTAGACGGCACAAGTATTATTCTACCTCACTATAAAAATAACATGCTTATGTATCAGTGCATAATTCTTGTATTTTTATACATATTTTGTAACATATGTAGAACAGTAAGTTCAACTCCAGATATCCAAGTTACACTTTTAACAACTTCTCTATGTTGTAAGCATGTGGAGACAACGACAGACATTAAGAGCTTTTGCTCTTACCAGTTGTTAACCTGGAGTAGTGTCAGATTTGTTTGTGCTGCAATCTGTTTCTTCTCATCCTCTGTTGGATATGGATGCTAAATGGGACAAAAAAAGCAAACAAAAAAGAAAGGCATAAGCTTGTTTCATCTCCTCATCAAAAATCAAGACTCTTTTATTACAACTGATTAAAGCTGCTAGATTAAGGCCATCTGACTCGTTAAAATACAAACTTTAGAAACCTCACAAACTTTTATAGATAAAAATCATTTAACAAAGAGTGCTTTACTACGCAAAACTGATTTTATCCTTGAAAGTGTGTATGATACCATTAAACTGCTGATGTGTAATTCAGAAGAAAAAGCTTCTCATGGCTGACAGTCTTTATTAAACAGCATGATCCCTGAGCAACACAGCATGTGATAAGATCAGATTAGTTATGCTGTCTAAAGGCAATGTCATATGAGAGCACTGGCAAGCATTTTCTAGTTAAATAAAGCTACTCTGGACTAAAGAGATGAAGAGAGTGTACATAACGTAAGAAGCGTACAAGCAGTTTCCCTGTATCATTTGCCTGTTGTAAAATAGTTGTACAAGACAAATATCAATCAACTAAACATTGCGACATAACTTAAGACCCATTTATCCTTTCAGGGTGAGCGTTTATGCAAAGGAAAGACATTCTTATTGGAAGCACAAGTAGATAGTAACATACTTGGTACGCATTAGAAGGATTGGTGGAAAGGAGATAAAGCCACAGAGTTTGAAATTCTCCTCTACAAAAAACACCCACAAAACACAGATGAAACTATTTTTGCTTGTGCCATGAACCAGGGTGCAGAGAGCATTAAGTTCTCAACACAATGAAATGAAGAAAGCTCCTTTTAACAATGTTTATTGAGATCATGAGGTACAAATGTAACATACTTATTAAAATAATAGTAAAATCAACCAACATTAGACTGTGGAGCTACTCCAAATGACTTCAGGGAAAACTGAACTGAGATTACACAAATGACAACAGAATAAATTCACTTTCTTTATGAAGCAAAATCGTAAGAGACCACATAAAAGAGTTACATAAAAACTTGTGACTCCTGATCATGTTCAGTCCTTACCCCTATGTGCTGAAAAAGCCAAGATCTCATCACATTTGTAGCGTGCTTGGGAAGAACTCCTCTTTTATTTTTTGATGAGCCATCATCTTGATGCAAGATGCCTAGATCTTGGTTTAATTGCAACTGAAGCTGCACATATAATTTTAGAAGAAATAAGGCAGTTAACATAGTAATAGCAGTATTCTGTATCAATGTATGAATAACTCATTTATAGAGGGAATGAAAAGAAATTAGGCTTGAGGCATGCTGATTATAAAAAGCTACTTTATTTGCTAGGGAAGACTTACAATAGCAGCTCTCCTACAATAGCATACCAAAATGTCTTTATCCAGGGAAAATGCTGTATCAGATTTCTATAGTTTTCACATTTCGTGTAACTTCTGTTGAAAGAATTACAGCTGTTATCAGGCTGTGTATGTGATCTTGTGACAATAGGCAAGTGCTGATTTACTGTAATTTAGAATAAAATCCACCTATGTAGTACATGTCAGGTTAATGATCCTCTGTACTAATCTACACTACCCTAGGGAGCCGATTGCCTTCTCGCCTTATGCAGTCATTTGCACATGTGAAGAGCAATTGAAAAACACAGTGCTAAATACACTCACTGTGTGCAAACACAAACAACTACGGAAGCTGTAAACTAGTACTGATTTAAGACTTAGACGAAGGCCCTATAGTAAAATTGGTTATTATGCTAGAGTTGCAAACAAAGATGCTAAAGGTCCTGCTAAATAAATGCATCTAAATTCTCAAAGAGCAAGAAGATATATATGGTAGAACCCTTAATTCACCTTACAATACCCTTACTATTTTCCTAAAGTTTCATATTTATCTCTCAGTTTTGCTTTCTTTTTCAATTCCTATGGATACATCAGATCATTTGTACATAGGTTGTCTGAACATTAGGGAATATGTTCTTAAATGCTTATGCAGAGGTAAGAAGAAACAGCATATAAATTGCATATGAGATTGTATTTCAGACAATTATAATGGAAATAATTCTAAATCAGGTTTTCCAGACAATACAGAGCAATTTCTTCAAGCCAGTCATTATGTCTATATCCTGTATTAAACAAGTTTTAAATGAGGTTTAAGCTCTCAAATTACAACAAATATGTATTTGGAGCATACTTTTATTTCCAAAATAATGTTTTACATTCTAAATAATCTGCTTGTATACGGAGGCTTTATAATGAACTTTCAATAGCTCTCCCCCAGTATATTTCCCCTACCTCCACAGCATTCTGAAACACTGAAAAAAGCAGTATGAAGAAGGATTTCCTATGGGTGACAAGGAATACAGATCCAAACTTATGTATAGGTGGGTTTGGAGATTCCTACTAACATCAAGAGTAGCCACAGATGTGTACAGAAGGTTGAGTCCTTTTTTTTTTTTTTTTTTTTAAAAGCAGAGGTATAAAAAGCATTTTTCTTCAAGACCACTTCAGTCTAGGAGAGTAATTTTACACATTTCGTTCTGAAAGGTATCTGAGGACAGAACCGCATGCATTCTAGGGAAGAATATGGGCAAGTACATACATGCTACTTAGAATACTCTAAGCATACTTTTCCGGTTGGAAGGTCAGAAGAAGGAAGAAGAGAAAACAGTGAGTCAGTGATTACCAACAGATTTTATGCTGTGGAGATGGTAGCTGCTCATTCACATTTTTAGTTGACTCTGGATTCACAGAAGATTTGATTTACCACTTCTGCACCAAGAGAAAGCTAGCAAGATTTTCTGTAACTGACGATGGTCTAGTTTTCATGTTTCCTTCTCCTTAGTTGTTTCTTTGAGCTCTTCAGATGCAACTTTTAAGAGCTTCCCCAAAAAAAGAGTGCTGGCCCTTACCTTTTAGGGTGTGATATAATGAGTCCAATGGGAGGATCTCCCAGAGTCTCAACTAAGACTTTTGAAGGTTTTATGGTAAGATGCTTCTCAACATACATAAGTTCTGAAATACATACAGTTTCACAGTACTAGTGGTTGCCATCATGATAAAAAGTCAAATTTCGGACAAGAGCAGTGCGGCACCATAATGCAATATAGTAGATCTATGCAGCCATAAACCTAGTTCAACAACTAGAAAAGTTTTAGTCATTGAAAAAAAGTGTCGATTTAATTCAGAAGGTTTTTTGCTTTGGTGCGTGTTGTTTGTTTGTTTGTTGGGTTTGAGGGTGGTTGGTGGGGTTTTTGTTTTTAATCCATGTACCTATACTTTTCTGCCATCAGTAATAGAAGATATTTAACACATAGGAACTACGATGACTAGTCATGGCAAGGGAGATCTGTCTGGGACCTTATGCCATATTATACGACTTGTAACTCCTATAGCAGTGCTTGCATTAATTTTACATTACTTACTATGTGTGTGTACACAGAGCTTATTCTGACAGCATGTCAAATTTAAACCCAAACTCTTAAAACCAGTGAGATTTATCTGAACCCAGAATACTATTCCGTGAAGCCCACGAAACAAACCTGAGAGTTCTGGATACGAATAGTCCCAGGTGACAGTGCTTGTGTCACCACTTGACCTTGTGGAGTGACCACTGTGACTGGCTGATACACTGTGCCCCCTTAAAACAAAACAGCAACAAAGATTACAGGTAAATAAAAGCTCTTCAAATATTATTTTCTTTAAACACACAAAACACATCGGCACTGCAGACAACAGAACAGTTTTGATAATGTATCAACTGTTCTTTTCTAGTAAGCATGTAAGATGTGCTCTTTGCTACACTAAAGTTTCTTCCATCCACAGAAATCTTAAAAAATTTGATTATGTTTCCCTGTATTTTAGGCATTCTAAATCTATTTTTGAAGGAAAATGCCATGACTAAAGGCTATAAAATAGTTTAATGTATTGATTTAACTGAGTTAACCCTTCAGCCAACAGGGGTCACAACACCAAAACCAGGCCTATGTGTGTCCACTGGTTAGGGCAGTCAGCTGGGTGACACCTAGATATTCAGGTCAACTAAGGTGACAAAATCTTGGTGAATGCACAGCAGGTCCTGAGCACCAGTGCCACAAAGCCCACATCGTGCCTCATAACCTCTTTGCAAGTACACGCTGTAGGAGCAGACTGCATCGTTTTGTTGCACTTGTAGTCAAGTTTGTTTGGATTTTTTTTTTGTTTGTTTGGTTTTTTGTTTTAATGTTTGTTAGTTTTAAGACCTTGCTTAGAAGCAAGATAAAAACATTTCAGTTCAAACGCCATTTCCATACAATAGTAGAACAACTTGGATGTCAATGATTTCACAGACCTGTAGGTGTGGTTCCAAACTCCACAGAGCATGAGACAGCTAGAAAGTGCGATATTTTAGGTAATGCATGTTTTGTCAAACAGAATTCTTTTTCTGAAGGGGGGGAAGACACCCCAGTTTCTGAAATGTCTTTTAACAAAAGTAGTGTTGTACAGAAAGATCCGTTAATGTTGTATATATACACATAACCTCCACTCACATATGCATACTTGGTACACATATAAATTAAATGAACATTCAGAAACCCATGAGGCACTCAACTATTATAACAACTTTTCAGGTATAAGAGTTAAAACACATTTTTAAAAGTATTTGTGTATTTTTTGTAACAACTATAAAAGAAAACAAAATTAAGAGCAAGGTGCCAGTTTTTCTTTACTGTGTCATACCTGCTACTGTTGCCATAGTTACATTTCCCTGCTGCAATGCTGATGCTGGCACCATAATCCCTTGGGGACTGAGTGTGCCTGCAATGGCACTTGGAATTTGCTAGAAAAATAAAACAATTAGTTGCTTGCATTTTTTGTAAAAATTTTATTTTTTTTTTTTTTAAGGAGATAAAGCACGCTTGTGTAATTTTGGCTCTAAAAATACATTTGGAGTTTAATCACAGGATTAACTTCAAAAAGAAAAAGACTTCATTAGAGGTTCATCATTACCTACATTAACTTTCTCATTATCACCAACCATTACCTTTGAAAACCCTCATGAAAGCAACTGTTAGAAAAGACATAAAACTATCTTGAGAAATTTTAGGAGACAAATGATTCTAGGTAAATACTAAGAGAAACAGTTTCCAAAAGGCACAAAGGAAAAAGGACAGATGAAATGGACCCTTGGTGCTCTTACTGCAAGCATCAAAGCTTTAGAATTTCAGTTATTACCTTAATTCCTTCAATTTCAAAATAAATATATTAAGTATTCAAGATGCCAAATACGTTTTATTCTGCTCAGGATAGTTCTTACTCAACCCTGACCAGGCAAACTTACACATTCCTTAATATGTACGAATAATCTCTATTGTTACCAAATGTAAAGTTCAGTCCCTCCTGTCTCTACAGAAGACTGTAACAGACATACAAAAAACGTCTTTTAAACATTGTTTTTGTCCGTTTAGACTCTCCTTTTCACACTTCCAGACACCAACACCTAAGCAAGGAGTTTAGACAGTGAAGTTTAAAAGTCATTGAGGCTTTTCAGAATACATAGCATCAGACACATTAGTAAGTCAGAGAAGGACCATCCTCTAAGACTAGGTATCTCAGATGGCAAGGCTCACTTTCCAGCATTTAACAGCAGAAGCATCAACCATAACACACTAACTGTTGTTAATTTACTACAAAAAATGCAATTGGTTATTACATTTAGTTAATGTCAACAACATACAAATGGAGGTTCACATGTATAGAAGTAGATACTGTTCATAACTACACAGTCACTCCAGGTGATGTGCAATGACACACATCTCAATTATTGCAACTATAATCCATCAGACATTGTCTATTTGTTCCAGAATAGACTGTGTATAAAATATATCAGCCATCTCAATATTTTAATGAGGCAGACTAGACTAAGAAGACCTTCACAACATGGAATTTTTTTTCCTTCTCCTTTTGTTTATTGCTTTCTAGCCTCCTTCCAATAAAATAGCAAATCCAAGCTATTCTGAGTATCTCCATTTGTTGAACTGATGGAAAATCATAAAAAGAAAACAGACAAAAAAAGTAACTATGTTCTGGCACAATTCAACAAATTTGTCTATCAGGCAGTGGCACACAGGTGTGCATGAAAAAAATACAACTCTTTCTACTCTCAGTAACTCATTTTGATAAAGTAAAAGAAATTGCAGAAACTCTGTTTGCAAACTAATAGCAATAGAAGTGTAGTTATAACTTCCTAAGGAAATCTAAGCACTAATCTAAATACACATCATTATTTGAAACGTACCTGAGATTGCACAGGTGAATAAGGACTTCCAGGCTCTCCACTTAATAGAGTTTCACTGTTCATTTTTGTCTTTAAGCAGGCAATGTAACGACTGCAGAAATCCTTGCAGAGTTCATTAACCTTTTCTAGCTCAAGCAGATGGATACGAAGAACTTGAATTGCTTTTACCATCTAGGGAGAGAATTTGAAAGAAATTTAGAAATAAAATTAACTGTTAATTTAAAAAATATTTAGTATGAGATTTGAGCAAATACTACTTTCCAATAACAAAGACCATCCAATTAAAGCAGAGTTACTAATTGCTAAGTGCTGACTGGAGTTCTCTGACCATTATCTTCCTGAAATGCAAAAGGAATATGTGTATATACAAAACCTGTATCCTTCCACTGCCTAAGTAAACTGCCATACAGAAGAAACAAAACACGACAACAATATTATCTTTGTCTCCATCACACATAACACATTCAGAAGACAGAGCATAATTAAGGTGTACACAGAGCACAGAATGAGCCTCCACATCTGTGTGATCTTTTATCCCCACTATACAACATCATACGTCCCAGAAGACCAAAAGGGAGGGAAAGTAATCCCATCCACATATGTTGTTTGGAAAGTGTGGTTGGAACAGCCTTGGTAAGCAACAGTCGTCTTGAGCTATGTATCAGAAATACCAGGTTCAGTTCCACATTACACCCTGACCCAAGAAAACCAAAAGTGTACAGATGAATTTGAGATACACCAAGAAGACCCTTCTGTGACTTAGCATAAATTTGCCACACAGATTGCTAGGGAGGGTGAAAGGTAGAGGAAATGGCCTGCCATCGCACCTGTAACAAAAACACATGTCTATAAAATTAGAATAAAGAGGCCCCAAAATTTTTCACATTGTTCAACGAAGCTTAAAGCAATGAGTTCTTCAGTCCTAGAGCTTTGAAGTTCTTCTGCAATTGCATAGCAAGGATTAACAACTCTGGGGTAAAAATCTTGTAAGAACTTCCAGGTGAGAAGACAGTTTCTGACATATAAACCATTAAACACAAAGCACTAAACCCAATAACAAATCCATGTTTAAACAAAAATTGAAGTACATGAGATATGTATGTGAAAAGAATACTTACCATGCTTACTGCAAGAAAAAGACTTGTAAGCTTGGACAGCTAATGGCATTACATACTGCATAAAAATAGCTTAGGTGATTGTAAGGGTCATGGCAGAAGATCAAAAGCTAAAACCAAATTCAGAAAGTCTAAATTTTCATGAAGCAGTAGGAAATCCAGGACATTCAAATATGTACATAACACACTGGTAAAGTAATTACTTTATTTTTATACAGCGTGCCACCCCCAACATTTACTAGCTACACTAGATGTCCCAGAAAAATATCCTTCAGTTTTAGGAAACTGAATAGATTATAATTTTGAATATATAGTGCAGAGCTTGATTTCAGCATTATTTGAAAAAGTTTGTCCTATATGAAGGGTCATTCACCCGGCCAGAGCACTGAATCCAATGACCCAAAATGACACCTTATTAAGTAATCCACTTACTACTTCTAACTAAAGCAGCCAACTGGGAACTGAAGTTGCCTTTGTTCAAAGCACCTGAAGGAGATCAAGGCAGGCAAACTCCTCTGTGTACTCCCCTCTCCACCCTGATGACTTCAACTTTCACTGCGACAGATCTTTTCCCTGTTTTTTTCAGAGTAAGTTATTCCAGCTGTATGACACTCAGCAAGTGTGGAAAATTGTATATTAAAATAAACAAGAGAAAAAAAGTGAAAACAAAAAAGGAAATCTTATCCCTTCTCGAGGCTAAAAAATAATAATAATAAAAAAAACCCAACACCCAAACCATGCATTTTTAAGAGCACAGCTGCAGAAAAATCCAAGCTGCAGACTTGAGGCAGTTGATCCAAATTAAAGTCTGGTAACTCTTATGACCTATGACACCAAAAGCCTTTGAAATAATAAGTGCAATGGCCCAGCGCTGAGGTATGTAAAACAGCAGTCTTCTAAACCAGCCCTCAGCAGTGGTTGCTGTTTAAACTGCGTTTAAGTACCTTTAAATAAAATCAAGTTAAACTACGCAAAGTTAACTAGATTTTAAACATAAAACAAAGGCAATCTATGTTAAAAGATATTCTGCTCCTTTCAGAATTATTAACAATTGTTCTGTAATAGTGCAATAGCCAAAGAGTTGCAGAGATAAAAAGGTTTAAGTTATACAATTCTTCATGTGTGGCGGACCAACACAGAGCACATATATTAGTGAATGCCTTTAACATTCAGGTAAAACTGAGGTAACAAAAATGTGCCTTTGGGCACAGTGTATTTGCCTGTATTTGTGATTAGCTTTGCTCAATCAGGAGGGTTGTTTTTTTTTCTTAGAACATTACCCATATTTCTATTGTTTATCAGCATTTGTTTGGAGGAAAAATGAAAGTTCTTTCTTCAGTTTAGATTTAGTTCCAAATTGATGGTTGATACTTGAAGTGAAAATTGAAGTAAAAATTAACCATAAACCCAGAATCAGTAACACCGTCCAGGTTTCTGCAGAGCCACACGCAGTCTCACTACTCTTACAGGAAGCTGCGCTACTGTGGCTAGGAAGGCAAACAAAACTTTGTAAATATGCCATGCCTGTCACCAGGACTTACTTACGCATTTACAACTACACTAATTGCAGCCATATGGCTCCTGCTCTCTTGCAGCATGGGTGGACTGAACTTAAATTTGTTGGCAGAAGTTAATTTTTTCCTTGAAACTAAAAAAAAAAAAAAGTAGTAATAATAAAAAAATAATCAAGAACTCCTGATAAAATCACCCATGTTGAACAAAGATAATACAAAGAACTGTTTCCAGAGAGATCACAGCAGCAGTAATATTTCATTCCTATGTTCTTAAAAGGCACACCTTAAAAATCTACAACAACGGTGTTTTTGTTATTTAGTGCTACTGAGTAGAATATGCCACAGAACAATGAATTTTTATAACCCACTTAATTCAGCCTTTTCAGCTGTAGAAATAAACCCGGAGCATCATTTCAAAGAAATGCACAAAGACAGAAGCAACCATGAGATATGTGTATACTGTTGAAACTGTTGTAAATAAAGATAATGGTAAACTATTAAGCAGAGAAAGAAAAGATTATTGAAAACCTTCCAGTTTTTGCTAAAACTGCTATCCAGAGTATATTCACATATAAATATATCATATATTAAATTTGGAGACATCTTTAGCCCTAAAAATGCTTTAGCTTGTGCCTGCGTCCTTTCTTTTCAGTGCCTCAAACACATGGTGCAAAGGGCACAGAACACACTATGTGCTACCTTACTCATAATCCCCAGCTCACCTTTATATACCCACAATTTTTTACAGATTTCAGGGCACATAAAATAAGCACATAGCAAATACATATGTGGACAACATATATGAAAGAATCTCCATACACTGACAAGTAATCTTCTCATTCAAATGACTCTTCTCATTTGCAATAAAACAATTAAAATATGTTCATTCACAGCTCACCTATCTTCCTGAGCAAACCCTTCTGGGGCAATTTAGGTCTTCAGGGGAAGAACACAAACTCTGGGAGAGGGGGCGTTTTGTTTTCACTTGTTTTGATTTGATAACTTCTCTCCCCTATTTTGAGTCCCTGGCTATGAGACATAGCTTAGAAAGGCACGACTAGAGGTTTATGTGACAGTTCTGCACATTACAATAGTAAGAACACTTTTCAGAAATGCAAAAGCATAGCTTGTTCACTCAAGAATATTCAAACGACATCGCAATCCTCGCAACTTTTCCTGACAGCTAAAAATTCAATAGGATAGCCTTTGAGAAGAGGGTACTGAACCAAAAATCTTACCCCAAATGGAACAAAACAACTCAGAGGTCTTCAAAAAAGGCAGTGTTCTGTTCAAATACAAAAGCGGGAGTATATTTAACACCCCATGTTTTATACTGTTTCTAGAGTCGATAAGTAACCTGCTCTGACTTCACAGCTGACTCTACTTTGTGCAGGAGGTTGGACTACAGACCATTTGAGCTTGTAATCTAACCTGAATCATCCCACGGTTCTACGAGTGTGGTGGAATTAAAAAAGCTACTCATCTACAGGAAGAGCTTACCCTGAACAGAAGCTATAGGAGAGCTAGGAACCAACCTGATGCAACATGGTGTTTGCAGCAGCTGGGTTAACAGTAAGCAACAAAGAAGTGTTAAGCACTGAATGTCTTAAAATGTCCAGTAATCTGTGAAACCTCTAAAAATTACCTGCAAACACTCCTGCTTTTTTTAGATGTGGAGGAACCTGTCCACGTTAAGTCCCAAGCACAAAAGCATACTAATGGAGAACAAAGAGAAGTTTGTTCATTCCAAGATCTGTTTTATCTGGTTCTTAACAGTAAACGCATCTCTTCCAGTATTGATGCTTGATATAAAGGACTAAGGTGGACGCAAAGTAACAGTCCATAAAAAGATATGGAGGCAGTTAAAGCTCTGGGAAAGAAAGCACACTTCTGGTCGAATAAGTAAAACGTGAGCACAACCTTCAGCTTCCACTTCCTTCCCACAGGGACTCGGATTTGAAAAGGGGACGTCTGCAGCTCTTCTTGCAGCTTACCAGCACTTACATCAAGTTCAGAGAAGATCAATGGAGGACATGGACAGCATGAGTGACCAAGAATCAGAAAACAGAACAATTGTTGAAGAACAGAATATCCCTGTAGAAGACATTCCAAGATAGAGGATAATTCTGGCTCCAATAATATGCTGTGCCATGCCTATCTGTAAGAGCTAAATATTTACTGAAAAAAAAAAAAAAAAAAAAAGTCATAAACTTGTACCTCTCTCTTTTACCTCCCTGAATAGTCTAACCTGTGTGGTCTGAGCCAGTGAAGTTGGAAGGGGAAAGTTTCAAAGTTCTGCTTGTGGCCAATAGTTCCTGAAGAGCAAACGTGTAACTACCACAGAAAAGCCACTTTGTGTATTTTTTAGGGATAGACCAAAAATTCTCCCAGGAGTCCCAGACAAACACAACTACCTCTCCTGACTGGAAGATGAATTTGTGTTACAAGCAAAGACACACCTAGGATGTCAAGACTTCCTAGCTCTCACAGCAAGCTGGTAAAATCTGCCCAGGAGCTAGCACTGAAGCATCTCCGTTTTCTT